TTGTTTACATGATTTATGTGATCAACTTACAAATTCTAAAATGTTCTCTTTTGTTTTCAAAGGTTTTTCACCTGCATAAAGTGAACTTCTAAATCAAAATAAAAAGTAGCTGTGTCACTGGAGTGAAATCCTGTTCCCAAAGTCCGGTAGAGGCCTCATCCCTTTCAAGTGGGGAATACGCACAAAAAGCCCAGGAAACTTGACGGAGACCGTACTTACATTTTCTTAAGGTTGTAACTTTGCAAACTCTTCTTGCACTCTTAGTTTGTACACAACACATTTATTAGCTTTAATTGGCGAAAAAATTCGTCTGACACCAAGTTGTATTGGAGAGCAATTAACACCACAAAGATAGGATTGTTCTCCAAAGAAAATGTGTTATGTTAATGTACTCTTCAATCACCCCAAACAGAACACATACAGTCAAAGTAAATGGTAATAAATGTGAAATTGATTTCAATGTAAAAACAGCATGCAATAATACTCACGAGTCATGTTAAAACTTTTCATGTTTATTTTCCAAGGTGAAAAAAAAACCTAACCAGAGTTTTCAAGTGTGGTTATAAAAAAACAGTAAAATTAACATTATAATTTCGGAAACAAATAAAACTATGGAGTGTTATTTTATACATATTGTAACAAATTCTTAATTCACATTTTTTGTTTCTCCAACAATTGATTTGAGTTGCAACAGAAGAAGGTAAACTCCCCTGAGTCAGAATTAAGGGAATGTACACTAGTTTGTGTAAATTCAAACTACACTCAGTGTGTAGCAAAATACTTTTTGTAATGCCTCTTAAAAAGTGACTTATGGCTGAATGACACACATAATTAAATCTAAATATTATTTTAAAAGACTAAAATAGCTTTGAAAGGAGTAATTACTCCATTGCTTCTTGACAGACCACTACATGGTCAATATTCATAAAATCTAAAAGTTAATATTAAGAATAATTTTTGCATTTTCAAATTAAACTTACTTAATCATATAGTCTAAGTAAGCTGTAACCATTAGTTTCCTTCCATTAACACTGTAAAATAACAAAAAACTGTAATGTTATTTGACACAATTGTAAAGTGGCATGAAACGTGGGGAAAACAATAATATTACTCCATCCTAACTTTGGAATAATAATCAAACACTGAGAGGATTACTTTGCAAGCTCATTCTAAATTCCCTTTGCTTCTTTGTTGCATTACACACCACTCTCAGTTCCTAAGAGCCACTTCCTCAGAGTGCTGGTGATGACTCCCTCCAGCTGGATCAGCACCCAGCAGCACATGCAGAAGTCACATGATGTGGTCCAAAACTCGTCAACTTTAATTCTGAGGAAAAAAAGCCAAAAGTTTGTGTCAAGTACGAAAAAAGACATTTAAAACAGATGCCTTTTATACACAGGTACACTGTTCGCATTAATGCTGTTAGATCCGACACAATGCCAGAAACATCTCACCTCTATTTCCCATTTGAACTTGTTGATGAGGATGGAGAAGCCGGCGGGCTAAATTAGAGAAGAAGTCAATTATAGATTAAATTTTTGGTTTCAGCTCAAACACCAGACAGCCCGGGATCTGCCTAAAGGTCCAAAAATGTCAGACTGTGACCAATGCCTGAGTCATTGCAGTACTGTGATATTAAAAGAAAGGAAATCTTATTGCCATTTGTTTTATCTATTTGTAAAAAAACTAATTTTTCTTCAGAGGGCTGACACCTATCCACATTTGTCTACCCAATGTCCGTATTACACAGTTGTAAAATAATGAATCTGTAATATTGTTTAACTGAGACAAAGATAAACTCTCTTTGATGAAACTCCCTCACATTCTTCCCACTCATTTCCATCACTGTGTGTGCAGGAGTGCAACAGGGATCCTAAATTGGACCATCCAAGCAAATCATAAAAGATGACTTGTGTGTTTCTATCTCCAGAATTACGTCATTGTGAGTCTGACTCTTTTGTTGAGTTATTATCAACTGTACTGTTGTCCTGACCTAAAGAAAAGGACAAACTAGAGTAAAGACAAACAGAAGAAGTGGCTGTTACATACCTGGTGCCATGCCTGGAGGCATTCTCAAAAAACTTGGTTTTAGAGGCAACACTGCGGAAAAAAAAAACAGACATGTTTGTAGTATTGCATGTTTATAATTCAACTTATATGTGAGTATCTTTGTTAAATTCATTGACTTGTTATTTTAAACATCATTTGTTTTTAGGGGGACCTTAGAACATCTGTCCAGGGACTACAGATGAAAAATAGCCTCTTGGCTAACTGTGGGGCATTGACAGAAATGTATTGTAATGTACACTGTACTTGTGAAAAAAAACTAATAAAAATAACAATTGAACCAAAAGAAAAATATAAGGAAAAGCATTTATTTTTTATTTTGTAATAAATATAACGATATAAAACATTTATGTATACAAAATGTAATCAAATATATTTATATACTGTATCTATGTTATTTAAAAATACATATGTATTATTTGAGATTATCATTCTTTTAGAATATTATATCAAAGAGCCAATAGTTTACTTTGCAGGGTTGTGTACAGTGTTTATTTTAGAGCTTTTAACACAGAGACCAGCAGCTTGGTGTGTTTGAATATGATGTTGAACCAGAACTTAAAGGTCCTCTGTTTTACTGTATTTCATCAATATATTATAGTTCCCAGATATATACAAAACATGTCTCTGAAGTGTTTGGCTCCAAACACCAAACAGATCACTGCAGCATCCCATAATCCCCTCTGTTTCAGCCCTGTTTCCAAAGTGCTGATTCTCTGTCTGTTACTTTAGAGATGAAAATAACGAGCCACTCCCCACGCCTCCTTTTGAGAATCATCCCTTCAAAGCTCATGTTCTCAAGACAGAGGAGATGATGCATGCACCTCACTAGCATTCTTTGACTATAGATCAAAGCAAGGGGTTGATAAGGGAGCTTTAACTGAGCTGATCAGCAGCTTTTGTGGGTGAAGGGAGTGAAGGCTGCTCTGTAGAGATTTGAAGAACTGCCGTATCAGGTGATAACTCTCTTTATATTTATCACTACAAGAGACCGCTTTCATTTACAACTAGTCCATTCTAAATGGAATAAAATAGATAAAGGGTCTTGTCAGAAAGTCTGGAATGATAGAAGTGAATAAGAACGTAACATTCTCGGATGGGATCCTTGAGGACAGGTTCGGGCTCAAATAGGGACAGCTCAGGTGGAGACAGACTTTAGGATGTAAGGAGCACTTACTAGGATGGGGCCTCGCTGCTGGCTGCACTCGGGATCTTTAGTGAAGCAGGGCATCTGGAGGGGGGCTCAGGAGGCCTAACGGGGGGTCTGCAAATGGGACCCCCTGCGGACCTTGTCCTGATCAGACCATCGAAATCTGCTGAAAAAAAACAATATTTTTTCAGATCACAGGGTCCCCATTATGCTTCTGGGGTTTTCTCTTTCCTGTAGTGTGTGATATATGTTGTTTTGCATGTAAATGGTCTGCAAAGGCTAACATGTATGTGTTCCCTCCAGAGGGAGTTTGTCTCCCACACACCCCTCCCCCCCAGACTTTATTCATTTGAAAATAAATGAAAAGGAAGAAAACCAACGGCAGATCACTTCCCACTGAAAGCAAGGGTGAACAGGTGGGACAGCCACACAACTGAGACCACTATTTCTACAGCCAACAATTCAAAAAGTGCCAATATTTGCACATCTTATCCCTATGTTTTCCATCTCTTGTTGTATTTAGGTATTTCTTTGTGATGTTATTTTTCCCAGATTGTACTATGACACTTTGGTCAAACTTGATATGATGCAATGTATACGAAGTATTATAAACCCACTCAAATGTGTTCTAGTCGGCTTGTAGCACTAAATAAATTAAAATGTCTATCAATCTTAATAATTCTTTATAACAATCACCCTTAAACAGCATTTTATAATGACTTTTAAGGTCAAGTATCTTAAAATGTGAAGCATTTACTTTTTGTTGTTGCAAGGATCATAGTGTGTCATAGCTCCCATCATTTGAGTTATAATGCTTTATAAATGATGTTATATTGCATTATAGTGTGATACATTCATTCTGTGGTTGGGAAAAACACATGTGAGCATTCATTTTTACTTAATTTAAAGAAAACAATGGCCACCGAGTTACTCATAGCCGCTATAATTAGTTATAAATGATTATATAAAAACATAATAATGCATTATGGGGATGACAAAACGCCATAATGAATACTGTTTTACAAACTGGTCGTTTGTGCCACAAATCGAAACCCATAGAACAGCTGTACAAGAGAGCTATCAAGGTGTTTGACAGAAAGCCAAATTCGTACCACCACTGTACCATCCTTGAAAAACACCATTTATTGAGCTTTGACAATTTTAAGTCTTTTAAAAGTATGTGCTTTATTTATAAATGTTTACATGGACTCAATTTAACACTGTCTTTGCATGGGCTGATTCTGTGAGAACAGCACCATCTACAGGCCTGGCATATGTACTACAGCATCTCCAGCGCTTTTGAACGGCAATGTCCGTGGCTGTCTCCTCCTGATTGGTGGAGTTGGACCAATAACCGTAGCGCCACTTCTGTGACGTCATAGAAGTGTTCAAATCTGGATCAGTCTGTATCAGATCCATTGTAGCCCCTTTTTAAGAGATTTGGGTATGGAGGAAAATAGAGAGGGTTGTGTTTTCTGACACTTGGTGAGTTCCCTGGAACACTGGGGACACATATTCATGTATAAAAGACGTACAAACGTGCATTTTGCATGATAGGTCACCTTTAAGGTAGCTCTTGTATCTTCTCTTGCACTTTATATGTCGTTGCTGCTATATTGTATTACCATGTCTTAAATACTTGTGTATGCTGCTCTTGCTCTTTTGCACCTTTTGCACATCATGTATTTTGTTTTTGCTACTGTATGTTTGTAAAATGTAATTTTCTTAAATGTTTTATGTGAGGGACTGCGGATGGAAATTAGCTCAAAGCTAAATCTGGCACTGTTACGCTTGATACATTTGAATGTTTTAAGTGTTCATTACTGTGCATTGTCCCTGCCAAATAAACGATTAAATGAAAATGCTAAAGCAGTCAGTGAGGCGGCAGCAACTATGAGGTGGTTGTGCACTTGACCTTATTTGTTTCTATAACATTATTTAACATAACTACAGCTACACAGTGCTATAAGCAGATTACAACTCATTAGAAGTATCAGTTCATAATGCATCATAGACATGACTCAATCAGGACTGCCTGGCAGAAGATATCACGTATCACAATGGAACTACTTGCTCAAATGAAATTAGAAAAGATCAGAATGACTTTAAAAGGACTGGATGAATCCACATGACAAACAAGCAGACACAAGTTCTCAGTTTGCTGACAACATTTCATGTTCATGTCTTGGCAAACCAAAAGACAGAAGGCTTTATTCCTAAATCCTACCTTCTCTGTTGGCTGGCATGCCTTTGGTAGGTAGTTTTCTGCCCTGGAACGAGGGTTCTCTGCTCACATAGACCCCAGACTCCCCATTTGCCGCCGCAGAAGAATCGGGCCTTTGTCTTGTGTCGTCTATCCTGCCAGCGTCGGGCTCTGAGTGTTTGTCCTGACGGCTGCCTGGCCTGGGCATCAGCGCCAGTCTGGGAGGGGGATCTCTGGGGAGCTGCGGAGCACAGCCCAGGGGTCTTGACCTCTGCAGGGGGACGGGGTTGGTGGAGACATCCACAGCTGCAATAGGGCTGTCATTCTGGCCATCTGTTGTAAAGGAAACACACTTATTCATGCAAGGTGGACAGCCAAACATTGAGATAGAGAATGGGATGTTCTTGTTAAAACAGTTCAGTAACTTTCAGCCAAATGTTAATGTTTTCCTTTATGAATGAATTCAAATTATGTTCAATGTGTGAGAAAAGAAACAGGTAGAATACACTGAAGGTCAGATTCATCCAGCATTAAACTGGTAACACATGTTTGGATCTAGTTGAATTCTTTGGTTAACTTAAGTAGAAAACAAAGATATGCCAATTCCAAATGTGTAACCAATGCAAAAAGGACAAGCTAATGGTGCCAAATGTTTCAGCGACAGGGTATGAGAGGAAGGAGACACACCCACTTAATGAGGGGTTCTGACAGACAGAAAATTATACGATTTAGTCAGAAGCCTTGAAAGACAAATACTAATGTAGGATCAAAATCACCGCCTCACAGTATTATGCCAATGCTTCACATTCAAGAGGCAGTTTACATCCACGTCTGTCAAGGTCATCACTTTATCAAATAGTCTTAAATGCATCCGTGTATAATTTTTGGTATTTTTTATTATTATGTTATGGCCAAAATCTTGCTTTGTGATCGTGAACCACCATATGACCTTTTTGTTTCCAGGTGAAATGGAACAGACACACAAATACATTTAAAAAAAAAGTAGAGTTGATATAAGTGTATTTGTACTTGAAATAAAAGCACCAAATCCATAAACAATAAATGAAAAATTAAGACAGAATAAATTGGATTTTGATTTGACAAAGTACTTCATGTTTAGAAATAATATGTGACTTTTTTTTTTTGAATGGTATTTGATGGACACAGGAAAACACTACAGTACATTTAAAATGTTCAGAAAATGTTAAGAATATAAACAGTAAATATAATGACTGTACACTGGGATAACGTGGGATAACGATGAGGATGATGATGACAGTGAAGGCAGGGGAGGCTAATAATTACTCTCAGTGTGAAAGTGGTCGTGACTAAGAGCTTGAAAAACACGAGGTGGCCGCTTCGAGATGGTGATGGGTTGCCGCTTCCTCGGGGTGATGCGTGGGGGAGGGACTGGGGGGGCAGTGCTGTCCTCCGGCACATAGCTGAAGATCTATAATCACAAAAATAAAATTGTTGCTGTGAGACGTGTTTAGTGGCTACTGAAATAACCAAAGTAACACATGTTTATATACATTAGAAGGAGCAGAAAACACAGACTCTGTACGGATACCAAATGAGTTACCTAGTGACCGGGCTAACACATGCTTCTGCCGCACCAAATTAGATTAGGAAGTATTACATTTTTGTACAATTTGGGAAATAGACTGATTAAACAATTTTAGTCAGGAGGAATTTAAACAGAAGCAATATTGTCCTACTTACCCATAGTTATAACATTGTCACTATTTCTAACATTTCTCTGTGTGTAAGTAGTATTAGTATAGCTAGCTTATTTTAGCATAAAGACTGGAAACAGCTAGCCTGGCTCAAACCATTGACGTTGTTGTATTATATTTGTATAGTGCGTTACAAAAGTGTAAAACATCAATTTGGAATTTTACTGGGGTTATGTGATAGACCTTTTTTTGGCCGGGAACAATTATCTATGGCCTCAAAATGTATCAACTTCCTGTTTTGCATGCAGTAACCAAACAAGTACAACATGTGTTGATAAGTGAGCTTCAGAGGAGCTGGATGTGGATTAAAACATTTTGACAGAGCTAAGACAGCTGTTTACATCTGTTTTCAGTCCTTGTGCAAGTGAGTTAGCTTCTGCCATTATTTACAGACATGAATGCTATCAATCTTCTTATTTAACTGTCAGCAGGTAGGCAAATATACTCATTTCCTAAAACAGTCAACAATTCCCTTTAAGTAGTACAAAGGGAATCACACACAAGGGTGTTACTCTTTTTGTCTCAGACCGAACAAAAGTTGCATTCTCTTCAAAGTACCTTTTTGCAGTTTTCAATCAGGATTTCAACGACGATATTTTGGAACTTGATATCCAACATGGCCGCCACAGTCTCCTCCTGTGCTCTCATCAGCGTGGGGCCGAAGATAACCGCCATGTTTGAAGGGGTCATCCGATTCTCGTCACTGTGACTGCACACACTGTGGACAAACATTATTTTGTTGAATAAAAAAGAATAAAACTCTGGAGGAAGGCAGTGTCACATCATCCTAGATCCTTTCAGAAATACAGCAAAAGGTCCTATTGGGGTAGTAAACGTTTTTTTAAACTAGCACTTACTTGATCAAGTGTTTGATAAGCATCTCCACCATCTCCCGATTCTTCTCTGGCAGTTTGTAGGAAAGAGAATGAATCTCACTCAGCCGAGTATCAAGATTATCGGACTCTGTGTTACAAAGACAACACACAATTACTTAATAAAAGAACAGCATATATATACAAACCATAACATTTAAAAGTTTACCTGCATCACCCCTAAATCATAAACATATACAAAATGTATGTAGTAAAGAATGTCATTTATATAATGGTTCTTTTAATAAAATGTCTGGATTATCAAAAATATTTGAACAGAAATGATTCAGTTATATATAAAAATATCTGGTTCAAACAATATATGGATAAGGGCAGAGCGATGCATTGCAAAGGCATGACAGAGAGGAAACAAATTAAGTCTCCAAATCAACCTCTGGCCCGGATAATAAGCAATAAAATGAGGAGGCCCTATTCAACTTTCTTAGGAAACACAAGCCAACATTTGTTTCAGAACATCCTGACGGAATGAGGCTGAGGCTAATAAAGTCATCGTGTTGTTTTACAGCGACTTTGTGAGATGGATTTAGAGGAGCAGAGGACTCCGATTTATTTTAGTGACTTCCAGTCTGATATAGATTTTGTTAGAATTTTGAAATAGTACTTAAAAAATTATATATTAGTCAACTGGTATGTCACAAGCTGTCAATAGCTGTCAAAAATAAGTAAACATTCTTTGACTACAGCTTTTAAATGTCAGTATTTTCTGGTTTCTTTACTCATCTATGATTTTAAACTAAACTAAATATTGGGAAATATTGTTTTGACTGTTTTCAGGCATTTTATAGATCGGACAAGTAATTGATTAAACTATAAACAATAATCATTATTGCAACCATGATATAAAATCGAAATCTGCATCTATCAAATAATTTACAGATTAAATCACCCAAGAGTCAATAAAGCTCAGAAAAACTTCACTTAAACATTACTTAAAACAAAAATAATTAGGCTATCCCAAAACAGTGTGATCAATGCATATATAACTTGATCTTCTTTTATTTTTGCAAAAAATGAATGAGCATGCGTTTAATAGGGAACTATTTCCCCTGTTCCTGTTGCATGCCATCAAGTTTTATTGGTTGGTCTAGATTCCAAAGGAGAGTTGAAAATAGAGACCAATAAAACATGAACACGCAAACCAAGCTGCCTAATCTTAGGGCCAACATGTGTCTTACTTGCAGCACATATGAGGTCTCTGTGCAGACTGTAGGTCATCAGAGGTTCAGACAAGCTCCTGCAGAAAGAATACACCACTCGTAAAACAGTGCAAGGCCACAATGAAATATAAGTCACTACTTCAAACACCAAGAAAAACATCAAGATTCACCTTTTGCACTACTACCACAGAAAGGACAGAGTCCAGCACGCATTTGCTATATTAAGAACAAAAGATTGGTCTTCATCTGGATTAAGATCGGCATTAAAAAATGTAATTAAAATGTATTAATAACCATAACTATAGTCTGATGTAATATATCTTATAGAAAGAAAACTACGTCGGTAGAGCACAACCATACACCTAGAACTATACAGCATTTTTCACACATTGACTTTGTGTCTCCTGCCCGCATGCATCTTCTCACACACAAACGTACCGCAGATAAAACTTCAGTGCACTTGTGATTGTTTTAACATCCATTTCACTGCTGTGGAAATCCACGTCTCCTGGGTGTGTGGGGTCTGTGAAGGAGCAAATCCAAACAAACACGCAGAAAAACATTGCAAGTTAAAACTATAAAATGTTGTAGAAAACACTGAAAACCAGTTTAACAATAAGCCACGTGAGGCCATGAATTCAATACACATACAGTAATTGCAGTTTAAAGAAATAAAAGAAAAGCCATGTCACAATAGGAAAATCAGGGGTAAATTATAACATTAACAATGGCTAAATTCCATTACGTTTCAGAAGAATACTTGAAACTAGCAATTTAAACAAAAACGCATTTAGAAATATTTACTGAGGTAATTAATCAAGCGAGAAGTAGAGTCATTTTCTCATACACTTCTACACAATCTGGCTTCTTTATGCAAATTGTGGAGTCGCCCCCTGCTGGCCACTGGAACGACAGACGGTTTGAACCACTTTGACATTAATTTTCAGACCCCTTCCGTCCACTTCTTTTATCCACTATGTTCACCAGGGAGCTAGCTGCTCATTTCAAACAGTTGCTGTTTACTGAAAATAGAAAACAGCTGCCTGTTGGGGCTGAATACATGTCATGAAAGAGGAGGGGTTGCGAATCAAAAATGAAGTTTGGGAAAATGAAAGCAATGATTACAAATCTCTATAAGGCAATGTCGAGCTGAAATGAACAGAGACATGAGTGATTGTTCTTCTACAATTGGCACCTTTCATCGACTGGCTGAAAATTCCTTGTCATTAATAAAGACAAGCTTTACAAAGTGGCAGAACCTGATCTGTTTAACGGAGAATTACGAGCCCAAGGGAAGGCACACAGTGAATGGACAGATGTAAAGGTGTTTCAACTTTACAGGCTTATTCTCTTACCAAAGAAGGCATTTAAAAGCTTCTGCACTTGGATGTTGCTGCCAACTGTTCGGTATACTCCTTCTTGTGAAATGCCTAGAAAGAGGAGAGGGGGAGGTAAAAAGAAACAGCTGGACACATACAGAGCAGTGGAAATGTACAACATGTGTCTCTGCATGGCCTACTACAGGAGCCATTATTATGATACAGATGTTCCTGCCTGATTGAGAATGCCCTCATCTGAATATGGTGCCATCTGTGGATCATGAGGCAAATTTCATGTTTAGGACTTGGACACTCCACTTCATTCCTATGAGATGAATCACTCCACTGAACAAGCAGATAGGGACTGTAGAATTATACGTCAAGGTAGAATTAAGTTATTGGGATTTAACTTGTGTTAGCATGCACGGAGAGAGGGGCTTTTTTAAAGATGTGATCATAAAAATTCTGTACAATGTGAAATACACTATTATTTTAAACTTTGAGTATTGTAAGAGAGGACATTTATCCCCTGAGTTTAGCCTGCAGGTTTTGGCATCAAGACTATGCAACCATGACTTAACTGCGCCCCCTTCAGGGCAAGTAGGCACACTAACAGAGTTAAAGAACACTGGAATTAATGTCAAAAAGGAGAATTCACCTTTTGTTTCAATGTAGTTGATGCACTTTCGCACAAACTTGAATCCTGTTTCATTCAGTTCCACTGTGGAAGTAAGAGAAAGAGAAAGCAGATTTAACAGCAGACATCTTTTATTTGACATGAGATTAAACGTGAGACATCAATGTATCACTGTGTACATTCATCAACATCACAGCGAATACAGGGAGTGATGACTGACTTACTTTCAGCTTGATTGTGAATTGGGGAATTATAGATCTGAAATGGAAAAAAAACTAAAGATGTCAAAACAAAATGAAGTCTGAGAAACATCTGGAAAATATCTATGCTGGTCTTCAGCTTGATTAATGAACACGTTTTTCTTCAGACTAAAAATGAGAGACACATTTCATGCTGGCAGGAGGAAACTGAAAACAACTCTAGATAGCTTCCCAAATAAGTAATGGCATGGATTCTCAGAGTGGGGACACCAGCATACTTTCAGGGGGGCAATGAAATAATTTGCTATAAGTTAAAAAGATTTGGAAAGTGATTTTCTACAGATGGGGACTATTTCAGCCAATAAAAAAAGTATCTCATGTCCATTACTCCCACCAATGTTAGCTTTTGGCTAATAGAAACTCTGATAGGATTGTACGTTTTTTTCTTTTTAAAGTTAGCTTTTATCTAAATTGATGGGGACTTTGAAAGCCTAGCTACTGTTTGTTTGCTTGAATGATCAAATAATAGAAAAATATAAATATGTCTCGTTGAGTCCAAATGCAATTTTAATAAAATGACCCAGAGTTAAAAAGAGTGCTATTAACATGATTCAAATTAAAGTGTGTTCCCATTATCACTTTGTAACATGTCTAAAGTATTAAGGTTAGTAAGGTTAATATGTTTTATAAACCGTTTAATTCCAATGGCATCTAAAAGTAAACGTTAAACAAATTCAAAAATTGCATAAAAAATATAAACAAAGAGAAAAAATATGCAGGTGGAGGAAAAATAAAAGGTTATTCCGGGATCAAAAACATCAAACAAATGAAAGGAATTGACTACTCAGGACGTGCAACATTTTGATATCAAAGCATTGTCTTATTCTTCCCCCAACACAGCTGAAACTGTTTTGGTTTTGTTCCTCCCCACTGATGGGTGTCTGAGGTCAGGCCCGCTCAGAGCAGCTGGGACAGGACAGTAGAGGCTTGTTCGAGGACTAACACCCGGGATGAGTGCTTGTTGTCACAGGTTTAAACCTCAACATCACACCCTGTTATTACCACAGTCCGTGATTTGTTTAGGGATAAAATCACTCACTATCTTTTAAATCTATCTAATGTGTTCTGTTTTAGCATTTTCACTTGGCAATTAGTAACTTTTAATAAACAATAAAGATCACATGGAAGGTATGATGAAAAACTGACTAATATGACCTATTTATGCAAAAATGATGAAGCTAGATCAGATCATTTATTTACCCACCGTCAAAACTGTATAAAGCCGTCACTCAGTTAAGAAAACCTTTTTTTTTTTTCTTTTGGCACTTTTGGAGAGGATGCACTTTTATCTTATTACATTCCATTGGAAAGTGCACAAAGTGGGTCCAAGTGATCTATCTGTATGTGACGTATTGTGTTTGTCATATTGGCTTGGAAATGTTAATATTTTTCCAAAAGACAAACTTAAGGACTAATGGACCAGCTAACTGTCTTCAGCTATTTGATGTTTGTTTATATCACTGAGTCTGTTCTTCTTCTCTGTCTTCCGGTTGTTGCCTCTTTTGAATGACGAATACACACTACCGCCGCCTGCTGGTAAGGAGAGTTATTGCCACTCACGCATGCGCAGTTCGTACGTGCTACTTGGCCGTTGGCTAAAGTCTTTGCGTTGTGTTCCAGTGCGACTGTTGGCCAAGAAGCAGGAGACATGAAGCGACACAACAGTCGTGTTCCGTCGGAACGTGTTCTTTGGTGTCAGTTTGGTGTGTCAGGGCCTTAAGCCTATCACCCCATTACAAGGTGTTGAAGCTCTAGCCAATAGAGGTGCAAGTGTGGATGTCACCATGTTGCAGAAGAACACGCGAGTGGTTGAGAAACTCCCTCTGGAAGGAACTTTGGGATTTTAGCCTTTGCAAACCATTAACAAAAAAAATGCCTATATAACACACTACAGGAGAGTGAAAACCCAGAAAAGCACAATAGGGCCCCTTTAAAGCCACAAATATTATCACACATAAAGAACTGCAGGAAGCAGTGAATATTTTTGATTTCTTTCTAGCAGAATTACTACAATTGATTTATTTTTGAATACACTTCCTGTTAAATAGTTTTGTTGCTAGCATGCAAGTCAATAAGTGTAAGATGGAAAAAGTAAAAGAAGAGCAAAATGCTTTCAGAGCAGGGCGAAAACGATGAACTAAAGGCAGCCGAGTATGAGGACGTTTCAAGGGAACAGAGACAGGTTGAAACACATAACAGTAAGCATGGAAATGCTGCACCTCCATGCCAAAGAGAGTGCCCATGTATATTTCAGCTTTTCAAAATGCTAGAGGCATCCAAAGTATAATATAGTTGTAAAAGAGTGTGTGTGGCAGTGGAGATGACTCCAACTGCAGAGATGATCTTTGTATAGACCTGGCAGCAGAGCACTGGAACTTTCTGCTTCACAATATATGGGCAGGGTGAATGGAAAACGCCTTGTGAAACTTAAGAAGAAGTCAATAGGGAAGTTGCACAGGAACCGAAAAGTGTGCCTTCTGTTATTTTCACATCCTCTGGCAGTGACTGGTCTAAAGGTTTTGCATACACGACAACCCTCAATAAACCTAAACCATCCAATATGACAGAAGCAGCCAATAAACAAAAGCGTTTGAAGCTACAACCAAAAGAGGAACTGACAACGTCTTGTTTCTTCACTGCTGAATACAGAAAGGAATGTGGGAGCAGCAGGGTTTGTCTGATCATTTGGCAGTTTTTACTTTCATAGAGGCTTCCATTAACACCTGAAAATGATTAGGGGCAAGGGAAGAGGAAGCCATGCTGTAGGGTGCCATTATTGAGCGGTACACAAAAGGCAACATGTGCCATTTCACACATCTGTAATAGACAATTCATAATGACATCACCTGTGCCTACCTACATCCTGCTGTGAGAAACAAATTACACATGTAAGCTGTCATTTCTAGATTCAGTAGATTGGCTTCACTACACAACTGCCTGCCTGTATGAGATAAAAAGCTGGATATCCCAAAACTGTATTCATTGCATTCTCCTCTCTATTAGCTAGATGCTAAATTCAGAATAAATGTCTCGATTTCCTTCTTAGTTTCCATCAAGCCATTAGACGCCTGAAACAGACAGTTCTAACGTGCTATCTTTCAATATTTGACTTTTGAATTTCACTTGTTTGGCTCACGATGATGTGTTGATGTTGTGCCAATGTACACCTATACAATAGTAGAACAAATCAAGACAAAAGAGGCAAAACTCAAATAAAATGATAAACAACTCAGATCCCCTTTCTTCCCATTATGTTGTGTAATATAAAAACTGTGTCTCGACAGAGTCTTCAACACAGGTTATATATCTGTGTCTCTCAAGACGCTGGGAAATGTAGTCTTTAATAATCTCTTGACTACAGAGGTCGCGATTGAGTGACAATATTTGGTATTTTTTACAAAAACAAAAGACTGGCTCAAACATAAACCCTCAGAGAAGAGATGCAACACATCAGGCTGAAGTAAAAAGATGCACCCTCAAAAGGCTACATTAGGACATGCAAAACCTGCAACCTAATAATAAACGTTGTAAGTAGCCTACCTGGCCTGGAACTAAAAGTGAATTCTTCTAGAAGGGCACAGTCTGTAGCACATGTGTCAAACTCAAGGCCCGGGGGCCAAATCAGGCCCTTGGTGGATTTAATTTCGGCCCGCAGGATAATTTTTAATTACTATTAGATCTGGCCCGCCGGTATATTGCACACACACCTTCACTCAATCCTGAGGATTTCCTCAGCTCAGAGCCTGACCCCAAACATTGATGAACTTGCACCCAAGATGAGATGCCAAGTATCTGGCTTGAACTAGCATCACAGAGCAGCACACTGAGTTTACATGGATGTTTCCTTCTGTACTTTCTTTCTTGAGACAACAGGGCATGTTTGGTTTTTTCTTTGAGGGAAATAGTTTTTTTGAAGCTGCTGTGGGCCTGTGGGAAAATGTAATCATAAGAAATTACTCCGGAAAATCTGCAGATAGAGCCATAAGAAAGGAATGCAACTGATTATTTAATGTTTAATGTTGTTTTTATAGGCAATCATTTAAGCTTTGTTAGTTCCAGGTTTAATATGTGCAATAAGTTCATTTCAATACGTTTTGCAATAAACATTGAACCAGTCCGGCCCTCGACTAGTACCCATCTTTTTATTTTGGCCCACTGTGTATTTGAGTTTGACACCCCTGGTGTGTAGGGACCATGCTTAGGTCACTGGTTCAAGCCCCATCGGACAAAAAACATGTCGTGTGGACTGGTAGCTGGAGAGGTGCCGGTTAACCATGATCATCCTAATGTCCTCAGAACAATATTTATAGCTGTAGCTGCCTTAAGGACTCTATTTATCGCCTTGCTTTTGTGTATAATATATAAGGTTTGTATGCATTTTAAGGGGAAAATTATTACAATATACTTTATGTACTGCAAATCAACACAAACCATAAAAAAACTTAATACGGTGTGTATAAGGTGTCTTAATAAGATGTCCTTGAGCAAGGCACTGAATCCCCAATTGCAGGGCCCCCTCCATAGAATGCATGCATTTTGGTTCTATTTGCAGGTGTGTATTTGTATTTTATGAAAATTGAAAATGTTCCTTGAGAGATTAATAATGTACGTGTTCTTTTCTTTTCATTCTGTCTATGTACTTTGAGGTGATAGCTTATGAAATAAATGAAAAGGTCTCTATATATACAAATATTGTACTCTGACAAGACAGAAGATCTCCTCTTTGCCCTAATCCTGTCTCTAAACAGTCACAGCAGATCTTGGTGTTACCCTGGATAGTAATTTGCACCAACATGTAAATAATTGAGTCTATATGTGTTTGTATTCACTGAGGAATATCTCTAAAATAACTTCAGTTTTGTCCGGCTCATCAACTAATAATACCTTGTTTATGTGTCTTAACAATTGAGCTTCAGAGCTTCTCCACTTTATTCAAAATCAGCAGCTACAAATAAAAACAAAGCCATTCTCTCACATCGCACCGATTTTGGCGTCTCTGAATGGGCTTCCAGTCTCTCTCAGAATCCAATTCCAACTCTGATGCTGTCCCCACAGGCCCCTGCAGTCTGCCAGTCTGTCAGTCTTCAAACTGATCCAGAGTCAGGGTTACAAACAGAAGCTCTGGATCACTGAGCATCAGAGCACCTCACACTGTTACCGCTTTTAAATCTCGTCTTAAAAATCTCTTTTATAGAACGGCAATCTTCATAACTGACATTGGGAGTTTATTCAGTGTATGTGCGTATGTGTTTGCAAATGAATGTGTCCATAGTGGAGCAAATGCATCACAATAATTCAATTTCATTTTGGTACCCGACTATTTAAAAAAATAAAATAAACGTATCATCATCCAGTCCCTGCAATCCGGTTATTGCATTTAAACTGCCTTATATAAGTCTTTTTTCTTTTTTTAAACCACCATTTGAGTTGGTTTAGTAGATCTCAATAAAATCTATCATATTCAAACTGTTATTGTTGTTCGTATCAGTCCATAATTCAGCATTACATGAATATTGGTGTTCTTTACGGCTAAAATCTCAGCTAAGAAAAGCATGTCAAATCAAATATTCAACCCTGTTTTCTTTTCCTCAGAAACGTTCCAAGACAGGCCATTCATTTATCCCAAAAATGTGGGAATTGTTATACACGCCATCATCACCAGTTGACTCTCAAGGCATTTTTTGCTCTGTGGCAAAAACATCCCTCTCCCTCATCCCAAACTCTGCTGCTAGGATTTTAACTCGGGCTCGGAAATGCGACAACAAAACACAGATCCTGCTTTACCGAAACTGGGGTTCATTTAAAAATAGTATTTATTACTTTCAAAGATTTGAGAGGCCTCGCCGAAATCTGACCTGTTATGTTGATTCCTCTACATACTCACTTTATAGAATTGCTTTTATGTTTTACTCTGTGTTTTATATTGTGTTCTGGGTTGCTAGTTCATTTGCTGTGTGCTTGAAATGTTTTCTGTTTTATTGGAAAGCACTAGAAGCTTAAAAAAATAACTTCTCATTCTTGATCTGTCAATCACAGTCGGACCACACAAAGGTGTCATGTAGCTTAACTGTGATCATGGAATTACAATGGAACTTACAGAAGACAGACAGCGTTTACGGAGAGATCGTGTTTGGAGCCAAACAGTGGTCACTTTAAAAAAAAAGCAACCTATGAATATTTTGCATCTCAATTAATGCAGGAGGTTAGGCAATGTAGAAATGCAGGAAAATGTGTTTATTTTCCTTGTTTACTCTTCTATTGATTTTGTTCTGAATTTCCTTTGATGGTGATGTATGCGTATTACTGAAAAGTTCTATAAGAATGAATATTGTTATATATTCTTATTACAGGATGAATATAACTACCAAAACAACATTTCTCATTTGTTCCAGTTTTCTCTCCATGGTTCAACAGAAGCTGTTATTGTGAATACAAATCAGCAAGTGAGGTTAATCTTGATAATTGTAGCAAAAAAGGTGTAATTACAGTTTTAACTAGCAGAAACATGGAAGCAAATTTATTTAAAACATGGGTTTGGATAGACTCTGCTCCACTGATTGGAAATGGAAACTGGCGGTGGTAGATGTGTGCACAACAGCCAGTAGCCATGCCTCTGCCATTAGAGCAGACTCCACACTGCAGATCTCACTGGCAGCAGTAAGTCATCCAAACTGAGAAGAAACAAGAAGTTAACTCACAGGCTCTTTTCCGTCCATGGCCTCCATCCACAACTTCCTGTCTCCCTCCGTAAGAGCTTGGAAAGTGACGGGGGTGTATCTATGGAAACAGTAACAAATGCCATTAAAAAGAGACAAAGGCCGTGATTAATTGTTCAATCAAACTGCTGCAGTATCTGAGCATTGTGAACATTTAGTTTCAAGTCTTACACTTATTTCTCAAGCATAAAAACAGGCTAGACAAAATAACACAAACACCAGGACTTCTTTTGAAGTAACTGATCACATCCCATATGTTAATGATGGAGGCGGCGAATGGAGACGAATAGACGAGTTTGAAGAGATGATGAAAATCTATTGTTGCAATCTGTCTTCTGCGGAGCAAGGGATTCAGCTGCCAGCTTGTGGACTATTGAATCAATTGTTAACTCAGACAAATGTGCTTCAAGTTTGGAGCTCTTCCTGCCAAATGCATTCAAGTCCAACAACTTTGATAAAATAACTCTTTCTCCTCCTGCGATCTGATATCTGTAGGGGCCGTGTGGATATTTCCTGCTTTTCCTGATTTCTTTTTGAAAATCTTGGATGTCATTTCCCTGAATATGACATCTGGAACAGCCAAACAAAACGTATGTTTACATTTTGACAATTACAGCAAACTAATAATGCCTAGTATTAAAAGCAAATGATTAATATAAGCTCATTCTACGGGAGGTCAAAGGTAATCTAAAAGCATCAGGAGCCCTTCAGGGACCTCTGGAGCCGACAGCATTATCTACATTAGACAGCACTGCCACCTTCAGTTTATCAGCTAACTCCTCATTGACATAAATTAAGTTGCTTAACACTCAGGAACACTTTGAAGCACTTTTTAAAAAAAAAAACGTAGAGTGTTTCCTCATGATATGTCGGAGCAGCCTTTGGCGTAAGAATCTTTTCAAATGCACTTTGTACTGAACCGTCTGCTTATATTAATATGAGCTTGTTGTGTTGCTTCCCCTGAAATCAGAGTTTGCCATCTGTTTGCAGCCCGTGCCCGTTGCTTAGGGATAGTTTGGGCTACGGCCCATTTAGCCCTCACACTCTGTCCTCGTGAGCCACCTGTTCACCTCAACGCCCCAACCTGTTTCTCCCACAAGGCCTCGGTGTTGCCTCATCTCTCAGCGTCTCGGATTTGTTGGCTCTTACCTCTCGATGGTTTCCACGTCGAAGCAGAAGCGCTTGTCTATGGACTCCGTCTTCCGGCGGATGCAGGATTTTAAAGTCAGCTGCGTAGGGCCCTGCAGAGAAAGAGAGAGGAAGATTACAAATGTAAATAAAAGCGCATGTAAAGACCACATTGTATATAAAAGAGGTCAAACCAAAAATAAGATAGTCTTGGGATTCTAGACGTTTTGCAATAATCACATTTTAGCAATATTTATCACCCTAATTGAGTTTATTATGTTAATAAGAAGTGAAACAGAGGGAGAGTTTCTTGGAGCCATTTTCTTCTCTCAGTCATAATTACCCTCAAAATGTAGGTATGGCTCTTATTGAGAACTCCGGGGGTTTTACCAAGGTACAAAAAGCTAAAAGACAAGTCAGATTTCAGGTTTAGAATCTCTGAGATTCAATGGCCCACTCATTCCCAAAAGACTTGTGGACAAGACCAGAAATGTCCCCAAAACAAGGAGTAAATGGAAGTAGACTGGGTTTTAAGTGGTTTATTGGTAGTAATTAGGAATGCACAATGTGGATTTTTGTAAAATGATAACTGATATTTACCTGCTTTCTACCGATAAGATTACCTATAATATTACTCTTTTGCAAAACAATTTTTGTTGTCAAGAAGTTGGTCAACTATAGTTTATGCAAACCTAAAGGTTAGAAAATATACGATGTAGTGAGCAAAGATTACTTATAATCCATAGCTCTGACCTAACCAAATCTAACTGATCAGTTTTGTTTACAAAAACAAACATCAGATTTTTTTCTAGTTAAGAAATAAAATAATTTACAATTGGGATCTCTTATCTAAATTCAAAGATAAAGGAAGTAACAGAAGAAAGCTTGTGAAGAAGGCTTTTAATTATCTGTCATAATTTAGTCTGTATCATACATAATAATATACATTTCCCTTTATTGGCTTATAATATATCGGGCATTTCAAACATAACGTGTGGTGATCATGGAAAGTGAATCTGAAAGAGCTGTGTGGGTAGGTCAGACAAAAAGAAAAGGCAGTGTACCTTCCTATAGATTTTTGTTCAAACAACATTTATTTGTTTTTTTACACCTTTAGAGTTATCCTTACTAGCATGTAAACGTGAATCATGGTGGGAATGTGAGTGGGTAGATGCTGTGCTTTTGAATTAATTTTTTTATTATCGTCCATTATTTAATGATCAGAAAAATACATGATAATATACACTTCCACTTATCGGCTGATAATATATCGTGCATCACATAATTGCTCATTTATTTTGTTTTCAGTTAATCACCTGTTTGGCTGTGGTTTTCTGTTCACACGGCACCATGAGCAGCTGTCTTCCCTCCTTGTAATATTTGCAGTAATATTTGACCCAGGACACACCCAGAGCCCCTGTTGGGACAGAAAACAACATGTCAGGCCTTGTCAGAGAGAATTCCAGCAGGAGCTTTTAAAAGTATCACGCTTGTGTAAAAACAGTGAGCACACGTACACTTCTCCTGACAGTACAGGTATCCCTCGATGGGCAGGGAGCTGTGCATCTTACGGATCTGGGACGGGCGTTTCATCCTCTTCATCAGCTCCTCCATCTCTTCACGAGTGCTCTCATAATGGTTTCTCGTCTGCGGGAAAAGCCAGACAGCACTTTAGACTCTCATGGAGGTGATTAAAGGACATTAAGTCTCACTAATGGCAGCATTTTCTGCCAGTTACACCACTTACGTTCTGCAAGCTGAGCTGCAGCTCTTGTTTGTAAGGCATGAAGTCCTGGGTCATCTCCACTGTCAGGTTGTTGAGCGTGAGGACGCTGTGAAGAAACGCCAGCACCTGTGCCACCAAAGTATTAAAACACATACTTAATGCACAATATGTTGTTTCATGCTACCGTAAAAGACCATTAGTTTGTGTTTGTCTCTCAATCACAACGATAACTAAGATATTTGGCTTTGTGAAGAGCTGTTGCATTATAGTGTAGCTGCCAGCAGTGTGAACCCGGAAATGTTGAGTACAACAAAATTTTATGTTAGAAATGTATAATACGGTTCCCCAGCACAGAGAAACTGCTGGATGCTAAATTGCATATGTTGGGCAATTTGCACAATTAGCATAAGTTGCAATAATTTGCATATGCAAACAGAAAAAAGTTGGCTTGGCCGATTTGGACCATTTTGGTGTGGTTTTGGTGTGGTTTTGGTGGTTATTGATGATTTTGAATGAACTTCTGACTTATTTAGGATCAAAAATGGCAATCCAAATAAATAAAATAGATCTAAAATTCATCATAATCAGCCCACCGGTGCTAACCATATGGCCATTTTCTGGCTAAAAATGACATTGTTGATCCTGAAAATGTCAGAAATTGATTCTACTTCCTCAATAAGGTTATTGATAAGGTTATTGAGGAAGTAGATGTCATTAAGGTTATTGAGGAAGTAGGTACAAAACCCCTCTAAAATTGCCAAAATCAGCCAAGGCATTTGCTAACTATAGTCTACATATGCTAATTAATGCAACTTGTGCTTATTGTGTAAATTGCCCAACACATTAAAGTTAGAATCCGGCAGTTTCTATGTGCTGTGGACCCTTACTATACATTTCTAACATAAAACTTTGGGGTACTCAACATTTCTGGGATCACAATAGGACTGAGTTGTTGTCTTCACCACGGATGTGGTTGTGGCGCTCAGTTTATCACGGTTAGGATTCCTTCAGAGATTATCGTTAAGGAACCTTGAGCCGAAATAACCGCACAAGTCTCTCCTCTCCAAAACCAACGGTTATGGGGATTACAACAGGTAAAAACACTGAATAAAGAGTTTAAACTCGGTTTTTTTCCGATGCAGCTGGAGGGGCTGAGATCTGAGGTTCCACTGATGTTTGCTCAGCTTGTTTCTCTGATAACTTAAGACGTTCAAGAGGTTTTCACCAGGAGCGGATCATTAAAACAGATGCCCTCCTCTCCAAAATAAATGAGTCCGCTGAGTAAAATCAGTTCAAACTGGTTATGAATCAGTTTATCTGAAAACTTTATTAGGGGGACAAAGGATGTAAGAAGTGTTGAAGCTAAACGCTAACCTTTACTCAGCTCTTTTTTGCTTTGTTGTCTGTTTTTGTTCTGTAGGTTTGAATGTATTCTTGAAAAAAACAATAGAATGCTGATAAAGCAAAACCACCAAAATAAGGGCGGATGACCGCTGGGATTTTTTCTGCCATCATCTATCATCAAGTTCTCCTTTTTAAGTGTGTGGTCTGTGTCCTCCACCTCTATACCATGTGTGCAGCAGAGAGGAAGCGTCCCACTCACCGGCTCCACCACATCAAACTTCTTCCTGTCCTGCACCTGATGGATCTGGTACACATAATCCACCGACGACTCGCAGAAGTTCACTCGCTCTTTGTCAAGGAGATCGTCAGCCTGTAGTTTAAAAGGAAAATAAATGCAAAAATATTGATAACTTTCTTTCTACAGTTTGCTACCCAACTGATGAAATGTGTTGTACTGCACCTCTTGGAGTTGACTGTCTTTCTTCTTGGCAGACAGATTCAGGTGTTTGTCTATCTGAGAGAGATATTTCTCACTGTCCTTCTCAAACCTCTTTTTCTTTTCCTGCAGGAAAAATAGAAATGAGCAAATACAAGTTTTAGTCGGGTTTTTTTTTTATCTGGCAAATACACTGAAAGACAAATACTATTCAGGTTCACCTCATATTCAAAGAACGAGCTGAAACTAATACTAGCAAGATTATTTTGTGTGTATTTCTTTTTTACCAAAAGTGACATTTTCAGGCTGATTACCAATATTTGAGCGCTTTAAAGAGGACATATTCTGCTCATGTTCAGGTTCATGTTTGTATTTGGTGCCTCTATTGTGACATGTCTCTATGTTTTAATGTTCAAAAAGCTCTTTACTTTTAGTTTGGGATTCAGTTTGGGGATTTTAGCCTTTGCAGACCATTTACATGCACATACACAAACCTATATAAACACACTACAGGAAAGGGAAAACCCCAAAATGCATAATAGGGCCTCTTTAAACTTTTTAGATTGTCAGCCAATGCCATTTTTCTTTACATTAACAACCCATGTAAAATTAAATTCTAAATTAAAATATTAGATATATTGCTTTGGAGAATATGTTTACACATGAGTAGAGGAGTCCAAACCATTAGCCAAGAAAAGACTGCTGTTGAGATAACAACCTGAAATACTTTGATATCCTTTTTATCCTATTGTTTTTGGAACAAAATACATATAGGTGTGTATAATCTGCAGTGTTTTGTAACAGGTAGTTATTGGAACATTCACACGCATTGTAAGATGTTACATGATCGTACATTTAACAATGTTTTTAAAACAATACATGTATTTTTCCCGTACAGTATATTTCAGTTCCACATGCTGATTAAGCAAACATCAACTCAGCAGCCAGAGGAAAAGAAAGCAGCTGGTTAATAAATACTGAGGGGGAAAACAGTGTTAACCACTGGACCACAATCAGAAAGAGACTGAAATGTCATGCAGAATAATCAAAGTGATATCCCACAGAGTCTCCTGGGGAACAGAATAAAACACTGGTGAAGCACACAGGGGGTCAGGTTGGAAAAACACCTACACACTACAAACTGCTTTCAGCAAAATGTCTTCACACATTAAAGACTTTCAAAGAGGAAGAAGCTCTTAAACGGGTACATGTTTCACACACACATTTGGGGAAGTGGCTCATAACAAGCTGTGTTTTACATAGAAGCACCTCAGAAAGCTTTCATTTATTGTATGAGAAACAGTGTTTATATGACGAGTCATGAAGGGACCACTTCAGAGAAAATTGTTCAGTGAAGAAAACTCACTTTTGTAACTCCAATTTGCTCCTTTCTGAACTTCTCCAGCGGTTTGATGAGCAGATCGGAGGCGTTCTGAACCTGGACAGGCAAACATGGAGCAGATGTTACTGTGGTGCTACTCTACATACACAAAACACAATTACAGTACTGCCATATGTACAGTAGGACACACCCTTTACTTAGTATGTCCTTAGATAAACTGTTATCTATGGGGTTCATGTTGAAATCAGCTTAAATATCTCAAGTGTGAGTGTAATAATGTATGTTACATTATAATGCCACTCTCCCATACCATCCCAGAAACAGCTCGAGAGATGACCTCAACTATTTTAAATCACACCTGTAACCAGAAAACCCAGTCTAACAGGAAATGCTACTGCAGGGACTTCATTGTGCGAAGTGAAAAAGAAAGGAGAATATTTATGTCTGAGGTTGGTGAGAAAGAAAAGAAAATGTCTGCATACAAATAATATAGATTATGATTATAAAGAAAAAAGGTTTATGACAGAGGGGATTAGATTTTGTGTTTTTACATGAAAGAAGTGTCTACACTAACAGCTTCAGAAGTAGTTCTGCAATTAGTCAGCGTGTTTATCCATTTAGTCTACCTACAGAGAAATTATCAACAATCATTTTTACAATCAATTAGGCCTGGATCTATCAATTGTTTTAGTAATTAAATTTTCTACCATTATTCCATTTATTAATCGAGTAATAAAAACATATTTTGCCTTTTAAACATGGGAAATAGTAAGAAATCAAAAGGGACCATCCCAAAATCAGTGTAAACTGTCATAAATTCTTAATGTATAATTTGACTTTGTTATTATCATCTTTAGCAGTTATTTGTATGAAAACAAACAATACAATGAACGGGTAATAAATGTTGTATCACCATTTGAATACCATCTCAAATTAAAAATAATCTTGGCATTAGAAGTTTATAATAAGTATCGTATGCTGCTGAAAGCTTTTGTTAGGACTTGAACCTGATCTGAATTCCCTCTACCCTTTCTATTTTATATGAATGTGATCACATAACTTGAGTATTTTGTGGAATAGTTTGAGCCCAAACCAATATTCGGTGTTCTGTTTCAGCCTCTCAAACACGTAGGTGTCCCGCTTTATATCACATTATTATAAGTAGAAATGTATCACACTGGACTTGAGACAGTGTGTGAATATGTCTGTCTGTCAGATTAATGGACAATTCAAATGAGCGTTAGTGTCAGACCTAATGAGAAGTGCTACAAACCTAACAACAGGCTTGCAATATGGAACCAATAACAATAAGCGAACAAAGAAACAAAAAGGGGAAATTATAGCAAACATTATTAACTGTATTGCCCTAAAAAAAGGCCACACATCATCCAAGTGTGTGGATGTGTCAGGTGGTAACGTGTTTCAATTAACAGATACTACTTAACAAAAATTAGACTTGGTTATCTGCAACAGAATGTGCCAGGAGTTCATTTCTATTGAGCGTTTAAATAGGAAGCAGAGTCAGCGTGCAGGAAGTGGATAACCCACCAGCATCATCCTGTCGTGCTCCACTTCCTGCAGGAGGCCGGCAAACTCCTGGAAGGACTGAGCTGCGGATGAAAACACAAAGATGATGAGGGGAATACCCACATTCTTATCTTAAGTGTCTGAAGCAGGAAACATACAGAAAGATTATTTAAATTAGAATATACATGAGTAGACTTGACAATGATCATATTTCTGTGTTATGCACATTTTGTATTAAGCTTTGAGTTCTCCAGACCATGTTATTTGCGGAGGTTATCTGTATTTATCCATTGAGTGATAGTAATCAGAAAGAAACGTCATACATCGTTCTGAAAGTTGTGTAAAAGTGACTTCCCCATCTTGACTTTAAAGAGGAAATATTATGCTCATTTTCAGGTTCATATTGGGTTCCTCTACTGTGACATGTTTACATTCTCTAATGTCTGCTCCGATTGGTTTTCTGGCCGGCTCTTTTGTGATTGGTCCACCGCTCAGAGGTGTCCCGCCCCTTAGCCTATCACGTACAATGTGTTGGAGCGCCAACCCAATAGAAGTGCGAGTGTTACATACTGATGTCATTACGTTACAGATGTAACGTTACAGATTACAGAGGAGTCCAATGGAAGCGTTTCAGGACAGAACATTTACATGCACAAAAACCTATTCACTGCAGGAAAGGGAAACCCCAAAAAGCATATTAAGGCCATATCAAAGTCAGTTAATATAATCATGTGTGCATTATCCTACCAATGTTAATCTCATCATCTGTCAGGGATTCACCGATGACGTCGAACTGGAACATGCGGAGAGTCTGAGAGAACTTCTGTATTGCCAAAGAATAGCCTGTAAGAAAAACAACATTTAGGCTTTAACAACATCTGAATGGAGTTCCAAATGCTTCAGCTACAGTACACAAGTATGTATCCTTTACAACCTACTCTACTCTCATAAACAGTGAGAGCAGTCCAGGATTATTTTTATATTTATTTTTCTCAGGTTTCTCAGGAAAGTTACCCTTGGCCGGTTGATCAGCACACCAGGAGCCAGTGTGCGGCTTATGCAATGTATTATCCCTGCTTTGTCTAGGATTTATAATCAAAACAAAAATCAGCCAGATTAATACTGTAAGGCTTTTAGAATGAGGAACTTGGCAACCATACCCAGTATTATATTCAACATCTTTCTATTTTTTGTAATGGGACAGTTTACAACTTTCCATCATTCCACATTGGTTTTCCCATACAAAATGTGTGTCTGTTAAATGTGCTTATTTTGGATTCTTGTTCAAAGCAACTACAAATTGAATGACTGAAAAATGAAAGAACCTGATAAATTAATACACTTTGCAACTTTGGCAATTAGCACGTCTCTAAATTTTTGTGAAAATACATGCGTTTTGGAAGTAGTGAGCATACCATTGGAAAAATTAGACAATTTGTGTGATATTTTGTAAATGTAGCTTTTTTAAATAGTTTCACTCTTTATACACAGAGCCCTTTTACTTCCACTCATGAATAATTTTTATTTTAGATGGTTTGCAGTTCACAAAAGGCGAGTAACTGATAAACATGTGATCATATTGTGGGTGAAGTATTCCTTTAATAGAATAGTTTGACAAGGCTTTTATTGGAGACAAAGTGCACAACATATCCAACAATCGCCCAGCTGAAGTTTTTTAAAGTGTGAAAGTTATTCAGTAATGGAGCAGTGAGGCCTGAGGAAGAATATGTGCTTTCTTGCAGTGTACACCAACAATTGAAGAGCACTCGTGACCTCTGGCTATTCTCTGGACTGAATATACAGTGGACCCTCAGCACTGTGCAGCACTGCCACAGCACCTACAATGAAACTTTCTGTTTCCGAGGTGGTGATTTAGATGGACAGAAGGCTATCTTGGGAATCAAAACAAACATTGTTATCTCATGGGTGACACACTGACCCAAATATACACATCTGCATCATGCTGTCATTGCTCTGTCTAGTCAACATCACACAGAGATGAGAGGGGAGCAGCAGCAGAAGAAGAGAACAGCTGACCCTGCACATCTGCACCAGATCCATAACCTTTCAGAGCAGGCTGCTTGGTCCTCTCCCAGGGTAGCACTAGCACCTCCCTGAATGTGCCCTCCCACTCACATTGATCCAGGAGGCCCTTAAAAAGGCCCTAATGATGCTCTCGATCCTCATCATCACACCACAGTATCGACATGCAATTTTCAAAACAAGTGATTCCAAAACTATACAGGTCATATTGAAGTATCCTTACCTCTGATTGCAGTGATCACACTGTTGCCATCTTTTATCAACTCTTTGAGGAATTTGCTGGTCCTCTCCAGCTCCACTTCATAACTCTTGAGAGTCTCTCTGAAGTCCGGGCTGTCCAGATAGCAGTCACTGAACTCCAGAGGAGGATGCCCCATATTCAAGGGGAGTTATTAGACAATAGAAACACTGAATTTGTTGCAGGGAGCCACGCAGCCTACGCTCGTCTACAGCACTCTGGTCATTGTAGCTCAGTCGTAGCGACTTTCATCAGAGGAACCATGGTGTCCGTGAGAGCCTGCGGCGGCAGCTGTTCACCAATGAAGTGCACTAAACAGTAAAAACGCACCGTATTTATTTCACTTCCCTCTTCCCCTCGTCTGACGCAGTGTTGGGACTGTAATTGACTTGTATCCTGGTCCTCCTTACCACTTTTTCCGTGTTGCGGTGTCGTGATTATGAAGAGCGGCCAGAATCCATTTGGACGCGTCCCGTTTCAAAATGTCAACACTTTCGCGCCACCTCCATTTGTCCTTTACTCTTGGTTGGAAATCATTCTTTTAATTTTCAAGTAAGCAGGACGCTATCAAACCACTGAATACGTGTTATTATGTTTATATGTTTTCAAACTGGGATAATATTCCCATATTCCCCAATTCCTATAAGTCCCACATCTTAACAAAGAGCCTAACACCAAGCGGAATGGGACGCGGACACTCTAAAAACTTCCCTTTTCCACACCCAGGCAGGAGGTTCTTAAAGGGGCTGCAGCACAGTTGCTGTCATTGTGTTGACGATGCTGCTTTCAAGTGCTGTCGGAAATATTGTGATAAAGGGTCCCCCATAAAGGGTTGCATTAAACATTTAGTGGAAATAAGATACACAATATTAAATTAAAAACATTCTTAATCTGCCACATGAAATCATGTCGATTTTTCCACCTTTCTATAAATACTTTATTCTTTCTCTGGTACTTACTTGATCAATATAACCATATTAAGTTATTAAATATTCCTTTTGGTTGTGTTACACAATTTGTTGCGGGCATAGATAGTGAATGTGGACTTTGAAGTAATTAAATATGTAGCACTATGTAAGTTTGAGGAAAACAATTTAAACTGCAAAGAAGCTCATGACACAGACACACCTGCACAAATATGAATGTGAGAGGCTCTGAACATATCACAAGAAAGGTATTATTCCACTGTGAGTCAGGTGACACCTGCATGTGACTGGGTGTGTTCATAATTTAGCTGGCCTTTGTTGCACCTTACAATCAGATGACTGAGAGGCATATTGTGTTGAGTATCATTTAAGGAATGTGGTGTTGGTTCACTGAACATATTGCTGGAATTGAATTGTCACTTCCTCCTACTGATTTGACTGATACTGAGTAAGATAATAATTATTAAAATGTTGCAATGACTGTTTATGACCTGCAGATGTCATCATTCATACTGAACTGAAGCAGGGTGCAGCAGCACTGAAAATACACTAAAATGTTGCTGATTCATTTGAATCCACCGATTACATTGTAAGTATAAAGAGCATTCTTTCAGTTTCAATTGCATTTGTATTCTAGGTCATTGATATTTTTAAAAAGGACCTGAGAAATCTTCAGGCCTTAATTTACAAAAAAAAAAACTCCGAGTGATAGAAATGTTCCAGAACAGGTTATAATTATAAATCAGCTTGGCATCCCATCACACAGTTCCTTTATTGAAGTAAAACAAGTATAACAATCAAAGTTTACTTGAAGTACCAATAGTAAAAGTACTCATTATTCATCATTTATATAAATTATATTACTGGATCATAATTATTGATGCATCAATGTTCCTTAACTTTAATGCAGCAGCTGTTAAATGTGGTGCTTAATTTAACACACTGCTTGGTAGCTTAATCTGTTATAATGTATGATCATTTATTAGTTAATTTGTATGTTATTAAAGTTATCAGTTATATGAAGTGGGGGAAAAAAGTTTCACAATATTTGTTCCAAAAATGTTGTGAAGTATCAAGAAAGTACATGTACATCAAATTATACTATACTATAAGCACAGTTCTTGAGTAAATGTGTTCTTACAATTCAGCATTGCCCTTACCAGCATTTCCACTTGCGCAATGTTTGCTGCTTTTTGTAAGTGTATGGACATTGCGCTGATTTAAAATGTGTCTTGCCTGTGATACCTTTTCATATAAAGAAATTGTGGTTTCCATTGATTTAGCAAAATATGCTTCTTCAGATGACATGTTTCTCGAAGGGTTTAAACTGTTTTTGACAAAGCTTCCAATCAATTCCACTTGTTGATATCGGTGTCCCACAAGGATTAATATTGGGCTCCCTACTACTTAACAGTGTGGCTGCTTTTGCTGCCTCAAGATAACAATGCCCCAACAATGCCTGTGACCACACCTCACTTCCATGGGGGAACATGGATGCAAGTGCATTTGATTTAAAGACAGCTTGCGTGAAAATGACAAATCAGTCTGAAACCAGCAATGACATATGTGTAAGATATGGCCCTTAGGGTTTGGCTACATATCAGAAATGGAGTTAGTTTCCCTCCATGCTGCTGCAGATGCTGTTTGAGATAAAAGGTGGATGTGATTATGTTTATGACCATAAGAAAACATGTGGTCGTTGCTGACGCTTTGATTATGCCGTGTGATGACGCTGCTGGAGCTGAACCCCTTTGATGTCTTGTATTGCCTGATAAAAGCAGCAAAGGTTCAAATCCCACAGCATTAACCATTACATTCAGGTGGAGGTGGCTGAATGCTTTCAGAGATTTCTTAAAGGAAGAAACACAACTGAATGCATAAGTCAAATGTTAAATCATGTCTCCTTTCTTTAGTATCTACAAAGCATTCTAGTGCATTAAACAGAAAAATCACACTAACAAAAAAGAGAAGGGCATTCAAAACCTAATGCAAGGTAACCGTTATCCTACAGGTGACTGAAGATGTCCAACTCTGTCCAAATTAAAGTTTAAATTATCTTAAACCCCAACTTTGTATCGAGAGAGAGAGCAGGAAAATGCTCATTATTGTACTTTGACCAATAATTAACATTTGATCAAAATGGCTATAATTTAATGGTTTGATTCTGCAAACTGTCTTTTTAATTTTATTGAAAAAATGCTTGTGTGGACTTTGTATAAATGCATTAAACAAATGTAGATTTACATTTAGTTTAGGTTATTGAAGGCAGTATTTTAATTTGTATCTGCTAGTGAACTACTTTTCAGTGTAAAAAAAAAGGATCCCAAGGAAAATACGTCAAAGTGTGGCCTCATCGAGTTCACAGTGAGCAGGTTGAGTCAGTGGTTAGATGTTAGGCGGGCAACAATGTGAATGTAAAGGTTGAGGCGAAAAAGCTAGATAATAATTATGATAATAAACCCTTGTTCTCTTATCTTTAGATGTTATGGGTCATTCTTTGTTTTAGACCTTTTATGCTTTACTCCTTATTGCGTCAAAAACACCCATCACTTCCCATGCAGAACACAGCACAATGAGGATGGGAGGACAGACTGCAGTCCCCACACAGATTCCTCAGCTGAGTCCAAATTAAAGCGTTTGATCTGAACTCTGAAGCTGTTTGTTTGGTGTCTGTCAATGGGGCTATTGTATGCAAATATTGCGCACAGCACCATATGACCTCTCCAGTGCAGGGCAGTGGCTAGTGTGAGGGAAATCATTAGCAATGCAAAGTCATGGTGCTATGATACTCTTGTTCACAGTAACGGATTGACAAAAAAAAAAAATCTGCTAATGTCAACGTAAATGCTGCTGGATGTGCTTTATTCCAAAATACAGCTGAAGGTAAGTGTGCTCCATTTCTAACTCAGATCATACAGCTCGGGACAAGAGAGACAGTTTGTGTTGGGATGGTTAAATATGTGTCTTAAAGTGGCTGAGGTGTTTGGAAAACTCTTTGGATGTTCAGTTAAAGTCACATTAAAAAACTGTTACTTGAGATATTTTAAGACAAATGTGCCATTGTTATAGTGACAATCATACAAAATAACATTTACTGCGGTCCCTGACTCACCAAGTTCAGAATCTCCGTATTATGAGTTTAGCACTAGAACATTTCTTATTTAATGCACAACAATTTTGGATCACAAACAATCTTCAAAGAATTGAGGGCAATACGGACACCGATATGTTGGCCACTGATGCCCTCTTTGATTGCTACAACATTGCGACTGATGAAAGCATGTCACATGACGCATGGTGCCAGAATTCAGTGTTGCACTCTTAAGTGGCCTGCCAACTGCTGAGGGGGGCAGAGAGGCTTTCTTCTCCTCTGGATTCACATCCATGCCACACCAGCAGCTCAACACTGTCCTCTACGCTGCCTCCTATGCCTCTTACACCTCCTGCTGAGCCGGGTAACAACTCTCACTTTTATACTCGTCTGGATATTCAGACATGTTGGGGACTCAGCACAATTAATAATGATCAGGGCAGAGGAGATGAAAAACAATTTGATGCTTTTTAGGTTAGAAATTATTTCTGGACTTGGAACATTTTACTAAGATGAAGAAAAAGTAAGAAAGGTATTATTTTTGGAAGCATCCAAAGAACTATATTTAATGTTAGGTGAACTTTTATCTAAAATAGTACTCTTAGGCTGCAGTTTTGTTTTCAGGTTTGCTTCTTAAAAATGTTAGCTTCTTTAATAATCTTTTAAATAAGCATCGTTAGATAAGACTGTTGAGAAGATTGGAAATTGAACTAGTGACTTTTTAACTGTGATGCTTCAGGGTTATTCTTACTATCTATTTATCTGACAATTTCTTACACAGTTTTTCTGTTAATTGCTTGAACTTTGATAAATATTTAAAAATGGTGTTCACAAAATCATGAGGTCCAAGGGGACCTCTTAAAATCACTTGTTTTGACTGACCGACGTCAAAAGCCCAACAATATTTAGTTTATCACGCAGAACAAGGAAAACCTGAGAACCTGGAACCATACAACACTTGGTATTTTGCTTGAAAGAAAAATCTCCTAATAGTAGCTTGATTTAGCAATTGTTGATTGACATTTAATTTAAAAGTCAACTGTCAATCAACTAATTAATCATTCTTTTGTTTTCAGTGTGAATGCATTCTATTTTCAGCTTTTTAAAATCTCCTCTGAAAAAGTGGGCCAGATTGAAGCAGCTTGGAAAAATATTTCAACTAAATAAGCTATCTGCGTTTAAGGAGATGTGTAAAGGTTATAATGTATTTTCCTATTCCAATTTCCCCAGAGTGCACGCCCCAGCTTCTATTTCCCTGAATCTTTGATAAAAGTGTGGCTGTGGCAAAAGGAAATATTATTAGTTAAATATCTAATCGCAAGGCCTCATAATTATCAAGGGAAGTGTGGTTTCAGTTTTGTAGTTTTATAGAGTAAGACCCAAAACGAGGGAGATAATACAAATGTTATTGTGGAAAACGTTTGTTTTTGTTGTAATAAATTTGTATTGTTCTCTGTTTATTGGTGTGTGTTATTTGTATCCTTTTTTTTGAGGATTTCATTTTTTCTTCTGTTCCTCAATGCCTTAGGCTTTTGTCTTGTGTTTCACTATATTCCTTTCGTCCTGGAAAAGCTTATTCGTTACAATGCTCTCTCAGCTCTTTGTCCTATGATGTGTTCTCCATCAGACCCGGAACTAAAGATGAACTGGGCATCGTTTTATGCTGTCATCAGCGGGGTGAACAGACACTCCACAGGCATCGGTCGCATCTGGCTCTCTGTCCTCTTCATTTTCCGCATCCTGGTCCTGGTGGTGGCGGCGGAGAGCGTGTGGGGCGACGAGAAGTCGGGCTTCACCTGCAACACCCAGCAGCCGGGCTGCAACAGCGTCTGCTACGACCACTTCTTCCCCATCTCCCACATCCGCCTCTGGGCGCTGCAGCTCATCCTGGTCTCCACCCCTGCCTTGTTGGTGGCCATGCACGTGGCCCACCGCCGCCACGTGGACAAGAGGATCTACAAACTGTCAGGGCGATCCAACCCCAAAGACCTGGAGATGATAAAGACCCAGAAGATGAAAATCTCAGGGGCTCTCTGGTGGACGTACGTCATCAGCCTGTTTTTCCGCATCGGCTTTGAGGTCACCTTTATGTATTTGTTTTACATGATCTACCCTGGGTACAAGATGATCCGGCTGGTGAAGTGTGACTCGTACCCCTGTCCCAACACGGTGGACTGCTTCGTGTCGAGGCCCACCGAGAAAACTGTGTTCACCGTGTTCATGCTGGCTGTGTCGGGGGTTTGCATTATACTCAACATCGCAGAGGTGCTGTTCCTGGTGGGGAAGGCCTACGGCAAGCATTTGCACACTGCTGGAGAATCGACTGTGGGGGCTTGGATCCAACAGAAACTCTGCTCATAACACAGATTTCATACCCGTCCAAAGGGATTACACTGAAAAAACTGAAAGTTTGACTTTAGTTAAATGTTTTATGTCAACAAATTACACATAACTGTATTAAGTTATTTGAAAGCAATACTATCAAATTAAACTTGTTTTTATTGCTTTCAACTAACCTAAAACAGTTACAATACAATACATTTAATTAAAGTCAATGTTTCAGTGTTTTCAGTCTAGATCCAAGTGACAGCCATTAATTCAACTTGAGTAAGGTGTATATAATAAACTGTACATCGCTGTTTCACATGCAAGTGATTTATCCAACGGTTTGGTATCTCAGAGACAAGGCATTCAACGACAAAGCGGGGAAGAAGCGGGGAAGAATATTCTCAAATGTCCTCATCAGATTTAAGAATATATTTCAAATGATTCCCAAAGGAACTAGTTAGTATTCTGTCAACATTTTCTGCCATGAACCCAAAGACTGCACACCACAGCACATTACTGTAATGATGTAACATAATGGCTTCAGGTCAAACTGAAAAAACTGAAATGTTGAGTTGAATTAAATGTATTATTGTCAAATTGCACATAATTGTATCAGGTTAGGTTAAATAAATATTATTAAGTTGAAACTAATATGTTTTATTTAAACTTAATATTATTGCATTCAACTAACCTAATACAGTTATGTGTAATTTCTTGACATAATACATTTAATTAAAGCCAATATTTCATATTTCTTTGTCTAAATAAAGATACATTTACTCGCATTATATATAGACAGCATTAGAGGATTTATTTTGCAAGGTACTTTAATGCATACATTGGTGGACTTTCATTTTGATGAGGACTTTTGGTCTTGAAATTATTAAATTGTGATACATGCTATTTGAAATTATAACATTGTGTCTAAAAGTGTGCCGGATAAATATCTTGATCATTTAAATGTACAATAATCAGCATATGATCACATTTGTCATGCTTTTGTCTAAATCAAAAAAAATATTGATTGATTGAAATCACCGTGGATATAATATAATGGACTGTAGGATTGATGGATTTTCTTCTGCTGGCATAAGCTAGATTTAGTACTAATACATGAAAAACACGTGCAATGATTCAGTGTGTGTTTGATACCGATGCTTAACTTTGGTGGTTAAATTGCTTAGATACAAAAAAGCAATAACCTACAATATAAAAAAAAACTTGAATTGCAAACTCTTTTTCTCTGAAATGTAATACTTATTGCTAAACCTGTTTAAATTTTTATTTATTGTCAATGTATTACAAAATAAAATCAACCAAAGTTTGTTTAACTGTCACTAAATCCTAAATGTAAGACAAAATGTATCGAACATGCTGAAATGACTCTTGTGTATAGCATATTAAATTGAACCCATTTTACTCCAGTGTCGCAGCATACGGCAGATTGAAATTGTTGGTAGCACATTTTTATTACCTATTACCAAAGTGAATGTAATACTTGAATACCAGACCAACACACTCTCACTCCATAATCGTCCAGGAGCGACGTTTGGTCAGGGTCCCGTGGCGGGCAGTTGTGACGCTCCTAGGCTCCTTCAGCTTCATAAAGGGACGCAAATAGCTTTCAACTGATTGCAATGTATTCCCATCTGCTACGGGATTTGACGCTCATGGAAGCACGGCATTCGTTTGTGTCGGCTGCCCTTAAAGGCAATGTGAGCGTCCATTCCCATTGGATAACGGAGAATTGTACACCCGGAAGTAAGTATTCCCCTTACTGTCGATAGATTTTACAGTGATATCTGCACTACTCATCGACTAAAAAACACCAGATTATCCTTGTTAATTACACAACATTGATTGGTTTAAATTGTGTGCAATGCTTTTGTATTTTTCCCCTTCGATTCGGAGAAACAAATATTTTTTCGGAGTAAAGGATGGCAGAAGACACTACACTACCCAGAATCCCCAGCTATCGTTTAGGACTACAGCATCTGCTCTGTTTGACAAACCCCGTGACTCAAGCTCTGTGATTGGTTGACCTCCAACTGCATTCCATATGAAAAAAAACATTTCGTAAAAGATAAAATCATACTTTATTCAGCAGTGCTTGCTTTACTCTTTGAAAGTCATCACATGAATGCATTGTAATAAATGGTTCGGCTGCATTAAATATATTACACATCTGTCGTAGTTCTTTATTTTTATTTATCTACAGAGATCGGGCTCAGAATAGACCGGAAACTATTCTTTTACCGTTCAGTTTGAATTTCACAATAAAGTTAGTAGTAATATTTTGTTTTGATATTATTG